CCGAGAACCATCAGTGGGTCCATTAACAAAGCTCGCAGCCCGACAGTGCTCTCTTTGTTTCATAATTAATGCAAACGTAATAATCGTGACATTGACCGTTGGGCGGTCCGTACATCAGCGGCCCTGACAGATGAAAATGAACGCTGCCATTCATCATTGCACAGGACTAATGGACCCCATAAGACTGAATTATTAAGCACAACACAAGAGACCTTTGTGCAGGATTAATGGAAGCACACAGCACACGACATTTACTACACTGATATACAGTAGTCAGTGTGATATCACTTTAACTGTCAAGAGGCTACAACTTCTAATTATTGGGTTAAGTGCGTAAAGTTGCCTTTGTGTTTCTGGCGTTAACAGATCTATTGTGTATAAACTTCTCACTGTTTAAGCTGATTTTAGATCTTAGTATCAAGGTCTCTGTGCAGCAAAGACTCGCAAATTCCCTTTCTGTAAATACACAATGCATTGTAAGAACAGGGGGAAAAAATGCTGCCATTTTGCTTCCTTTGTTGGTTTCCAATAAGTTGGATGTGTTTTCCTGAAAGCTGCTGCTACATGGACGGACAACAAGGAGGGTGGTGGTGGGGCAGCAAAGGGAGAATTTATTCAATCAATCCATCTCAAACAAGAACAGCACTTTGTGGTGTATTTCAGGGGAAGAGGAGAAACTGAGGCAGGATGTGGTGGATTAGAAATTTCAGAAGGAGAAATGAACAGAGAAAGAAGAGAAAGTGAATATTGCTTTTTTTCATATATTGTCATTAAATCCTTGTGATCAGTAAAATATGATGTACTTTCATTTATTCTTTCCATTTTCTTTGAGGTGAATAAAGTTCTTTATTTTATTATATATTATCTAAGCTTATAAGGGTTAGAAACTCAAAAGAAAATGGTGTCAACCTTTACTTAAAGTGATATTGTGGTAATTCTCGCAGGAGAGTGGAAGCTGCGATTAAAATAGCAGTTGTTTACTCTACAGTGCATGTCAATATAAGCAGCAGAATAGCAGAAGTGCTGGGAAAGTCTTGGCAACACTAGACTGAAAAAGGGTTTCTGAGCCCGACACTCAGAGCTGAGGTCCATAGGTTATTGATTGTGTGTTTAGTTATTTGGTTAGAAGGGGGCCCTGCGATCGTGTTTCCCTAATCGGGGCAGATGACAGAAAGAAATATGATGCTGCATAAATTAGTCTGCATGATGCTACCCTTCTACTGAATTTCACGTCATAATGCGCCAGAAATTAGATTTGGAGAATTGTGCATTAGGCCTGGTTTAGGACAGAAAGGGATGCACACTGGCGATCAGTGACATGAAGTAGCTGGGGCATTCGCTACATGATTTACCCCATGAAGACTGTTATATGTTATATGTATCTCATCACCAACATCCCCTTTATTCAAAATACTTTCACAGGCTATAGGCTTCTCTGTCCTGTCTTAATCTCACGAATCCTATTCACAGAGGAAAAGAAGCCATTATCCATTCAGATCCAACGAGGAAATATGGCTCTTAAAAGTGACCCTGGTCAATGAATACAACCACAGCAGAAAACTATTGATACAGTCAGTGATTTTTCATAATAAACAAAGAACGCAGACGGATTTAATTAAACACTTAATATTCAGTACTTGTGGAGCAGTGTGAGCTATCTGTCGTTCTTGGATCTTATCCAGAGAGACATCTTTACAGTGATTAACACGTCGGGGCCATGAGACAACTGGAGAATCATTTTTATGGTAATGTTTGTCAGCGATGCAGACACACGGTTCTCTGGGACGTTGCCCAACTAATGTGAATCCCGACACTCTTCTAATGGCGCCCATTACGAGCCAATTCATTTTTTATGAGAGGGGTAGATCTGTTGGCGCCTTCCATCAGGGACATTCACCCTTATTTATTGGTTACGTCTGGCAGTGAGCACATGCAGGGTTCAGCTTGAAGAACGGTTCGGCCTTTTGGGGACGATGATCATCAAGTGCACAACAAAAAGTCCATTGTTGAATTAACTCCCACAGAGTTGATTTGAAAGCCGTTTATGGGTTTATATAGCTCCACACTTTCCAGAGTTAAATTGACATTTTCAAAATAGTTAAACATTTAACACTTTGCCAGAGTTCCTTCTTCAACTCGAGTTAAAGCAACACTTAGAGAAACATTTCTTGGTCGTACGCTGCAGACAAACAATTAACTAAAAACACTTAAAATGTAATGCTGTGAGAACAGAGCAGCATATTGTTTATAATTATCCCAAAAATCTGATCAAATCTAGTAACAAGCTGTCTCACGTGACCTCTTGTTTTCAAATTTGAATCATACTGTCATGAAAATAATGAATGCATCAACTCTTACTACTCTTATAGCAAATGCTTTAAAACAAGCAAATCAAATAGAACTCACTTGTAGCATCATCCAGCTCAGTTTGTGATGGATTTTCTGTTGACTACTGCAAGCAGTCCTTTGGTAATTTGAAAGTGAAATACAAGTTTTCCTGAAATAAAAAATAATTATATTAATTGCGTTATCATATTCAGAGAATTCAAATGTTAATTAATGTCATACACACAGCATGTAGGCCATGAAAGTGTAATGCAAACAATAATAATGACTATTACATAACCTTTCTTGGTGTATGGATCTTTAGAGGAAGAGAACAGCATCACTATCGCAGGTGCATACAAATACAATTACACACCTTTTTTATGGAATTGCAGAAGGTTAAATTGTCCTTCCACCGCATCCGTCTTCACATACTTCACCTGGGCCAGCATTTTACTGTGAAAATGTGACAGAGTAAGTTAACTTTTAAAGAAAGAGCAGTAAAAAAAAACCCATCAGTGTCACACAAACAACCGGACAAGGGAAACAGTTTTTAGTAGCCTCTAAGATTTTAAACAGTAAAAAAAAAACAACATAAAAACCTTCTTTTTCAGAGCAACTATCCTCATTTACCCTCCTCTTTTTGCAGGTAAGATCAGGCCTTGAGGTGAGGCCTTTGCAGTTTCCCTCCAAAAGTTACTACCTTATTTACTTCCTTATTTCATTAAGATGAATGTTTATCGTCTAAATCCAGAGACGTTGAATGCATCACAGTGAAATAGGGCTTTATGTAAAATACATGTGTCCCCTTCTTCAACAATGATTGTTCAATCCTCACCGAGTTTGAAATACTTAGGAGTTACTGTAGGTTGCTGTCGGCCTACTCACTCAATATTTATTACATGTTTAAGAACATGACCCTTAGTGATTCAGTGGCTCTTTTTCAAAATGTAAATCTTGACCTGGAGTAGAAAGTTTGGTTTAATGTCGAATCAACTTTTTATGTTGAATTAACAAACATTTGATTTACAGTATTGAGAAAAGAAAGAGTCCAGAGATCAACAAACAAGAAAATAACACTTTCAGGGATAAACAACAAATGAACAATTCAGTTTCAAATCATTCTATTTCTCAGACTTTGAGCAGAGTGAACCCTCTTTCAAATACAAAACAGGAAGAAGAGGAGCTCAGCCAATATTTCACTTCTTTTCAGTTCAACATTTCCTCCACTAGTGAACCATCTCCCCAAACAAATGTATAGAAGCATTAAAGTGAGGATCTGGGACTGTGCTGAACTCACCTCATGTTCAAGACTAGAGTCTGAGATCAGCTGACTGCTGCTGGACCTGCTACTGTGTGGAACACTCCTCCCCACAGGGAGGCGCCCTCATGACTTTCAGTCTTCCGTATTGAAAGGTGGAAAGGCGGGGTCAGTCCAGAGCGGGACACAATCTGATTGGCTGAAAAGAAACAGGTGGTGGGGGTTGGGGCGAGGTTTGAAGGTGTATTTTGAAAATAAAATCAGACATCATTAAGTATTAGGGCCACATTGAAGAAAAACAAATTGACATTTCTAGAATAAAGTCGTAAGTTTTATGAGAATAAAGTCGGGATTTTGAACTTCAAGTATCTTCATTTTGTGCAGTATTACAGGTGAGTGAAGTGTTTGAGTCCATAAAACGTTTGGAGTTTCAGGGGTAAACAGTGTTGCAGCCAAATCCAATATAATTGAAGTAAATGGTGACAGATTCTTCAAACAGAAAAAAACTCCACACTGCTCCTGTGGTGTCATCCAAGTGTCCGTAAGCCCCGATGGTCAAATTCGAGTGCTCGCCATTCAACTCAACAGTTTTGGCCGCATCGCTGTTTACTCCTGAAACTCCAGAAGTGTTTTTGAAAAGTCAAAAACTTCACCCACCCCTCCCTCGGCATAGTGGAGAGTGAATAATGGGTGAATTTTCATTTTTGGGTGAACTATCCCTTTAAAACTAAAGTTTTTTAAAATACATTTTTAAGACTTCTGTGAATTCCAGGTCTTACTTTTTCTCACTTGATGTAGTGGGTGCTTTATTTGTATTGTTTGTCTGATTGTGAAAACGTTCCAATAAAAGGAAAGCCATTAAATTAAAAAAGAACAGTTCCCCTTGTCAGTAATGTAGTGGGTAACAATGAACTTGTGAAGTACTTGGAAGTACTCGAGTAAATGCAGGTTACTCAGTTACTCTCCATCACTGGGAGTCACCCCCTCCTCCCACCTGTACATGAATCTGAACTGACACCAACACAACACAGATCATGGCGCTCTGCAGCAAACTTTACACCCATCTGAGAGGAGGTGGTTGATGTGAAGCAGGGCGGAGCTGGGTCAACGGGACAATGTCAACTGCTGGAGACCACACGTTGTTTGAAGGACATGCTGAGAAGCTGATGATGATAATGATGTGAGATTATTCATGAATCTCATCATTGCTCCATCCCATCATCATCCCATCATCTTCCCATCATCATCCCACAGACAGCTCCTCACCGGGGGGAGCACCTGCTGTCCCGCTCCGCGCTGCAGTGTCTGGGTGAGAGCACATGATTAGTGCACATCTGGAGAGGAAGGCAGACCTGTGGGCTTCACACACACACGCACACGCGCGCGCAAACACACATACACACACACACACACACACACACACACACACACACACACACACACACACACACACCTTATCGGACTTTAACAACATCACACGCACGGGGGAGACACAACGCCTGTGACTTTCCATCCCGGGAGATCCAGACATGATGCCCAGTTTGCCGGGCGGCGGCAGGACAACGAGCGGAGCCACGGGCACCATCCTATCGGCGTGTCTGGTCTCCGCCTGTCAAGCGCTCCAGAGCTGCGGGGAGGTCCAGTGCGGCGACGGCCAGCAGTGCTGTCCGCCCATCGTGGCCGGGAACGGCAGCGCCAGCTCCGCGGTGCGCTGCTGCAAGCTCCCCATCCACATCTTCTTCGACAACGTGGGCTGGTTCACGCGGAAGCTGTCGGGCATCCTGATCCTGCTCCTGCTCTTCGCCATGGGCTACTTCATCCAGCGGATCATCTGCCCGCGGCCCCGCCGGCACCCGCACCACGACCGCAGCGAGGAGCCCTCCCTCTTCCACGGGCACGCGTCAGCGTCCCAGGACTCCCTGCTGGACCGGTACCCCGAGTACAGCCTGGGGGACTTCACCTCCCCCAGCCTGCCGGCCTACGACGAGGTCAAATACTTGCCCACGTATGAGGAAAGCATGCAGGAGATGCACAGGGACCGGTCGGATGATAACTTGCTGGCGGAACATGAGAGTCGGGGGAGAGTGAGAGCTGCGGGACCGAGGGCTGGAGAGCAGAGGCGGGATGTCCTGGAGGTGTCAGGACCGCAACACAGCCCAAGGACATCACGAAACTCAGTGTGACGGAGAATGAGACAATATAGTATTCTTATTTTAATACCATCAGGGTGATCATCCTGCTGAGATACAAACTCAAGTGCAATTATAATCCTGAATGTCCAGAATAAAGGAGGAGGCTGAGAAAAATGTGCGTGTTCTGTAAGATTATAGGGGATTACTCTCCTTTTGTATGCAAATGACCGCTTGGGTTGAAGTGATGGAGATTATAAAATAACCGAAGGCGCCTGGAATCGACGCTCTTTGTGTTTGGGGACAGCTAATTTGGCTCCGGTACAATCGCATTAAGTTTTACTTCAGTATCTCGATTTTAAGTGGCACCGTGAAACAGTTTTTCTTCTGTCAAATTCTCCTCCTTTCTTACTCTAAATATTCTGCTGAGCTCCAGAGACCTGCTTTCTTTATTTATTCTTTATTGAATTTGCATCCAAAAGGAAGAAGATTTAGATTTTTTTTCTCTCAGTAACCTCAGTAACCCCTGATGTGGTGCTGCAAGTGGGGGAAAGAATGAATATCAATTTATATACTTGATCAGTTTGTTAATTTATACACTATCAGCATGGGAGTGTAATATTCTGGAGAAATTACACATACATGCTCATGTTGGCTCCACCAAAAACAATCCATTGACGTTATTTGGACAATATAAGCCACAGAACAGTGATAATGTCCATAAGTTTCGCAAATCACATTCATAGGTTCAGAAAATAATTTAAATTTAAATTTGAGAAGTAAATTTGAGAAGTCAAGTAAAATTTGGGGCAAAAAATAAATCACTAAATTATCAAAAAACTAAAAAATGTTGTCAGTCAACTGAAAGTGTTTGAGCTGTGTAACTTTATTTACCTCTTAAATGGGGCATAAGCAGGTGCATTTATCACCCTGTTACCCTGAGTCCTCTAAACTGATTTATCTGAAAGTGCATTGGAAATTTGTTATGGCAACATAATACCAGTTTATCAAAGCTTTCACGATAAGTAACCATTCCATTTCTGTCAAAATATGCACAAGAAGTTGCTTCCAGAGCTTCAGGATCCATAAAACTAGACGTTACAACCGGAGACATTTGAGCTTCTCTAATGCTCCTGACTCTGAAAGTCTGAGTGAGATTGTGGTGGTGGCCTGTGTAATCCAATACTGCCAGAACATGATGGCAGAGCCAACAGTCAACACTGACAGCTTTCCTTTCCAGAGGGACATGGGTGGGTGGAGTTTGCACTTAAAAGCATTAAATCTGTGCTTAAAACCCACTGATGGATGGACGGGGTGGAGTGTGTGACCCCAGGATGCAAGAAGTCATGTGTGGGGGCTTCTTTAAAAAAATGAGGGGTGTGATTGTTTGGTTTCATAATCTTTTTCAGTTCATAATGAACCAATGTCTAAACAGTAAAAGTGGGTCTGTGACCATGAGGGAAAACCTAGTCTTCTACATTTAGCAGAATTAAATCAGATAACATAAAGCTGGGACATCCCCTGGCTAAAGGGAGAGGATGCTGGTTAAGTTGGTTTTCTTCAAATGTATGTGCACAGACATTTGGTGTACAGAGAGAGAGAAGACAGCCACACACAACAATGGACACAAATACAGTGCACACACATACACACACAAAATGGATTTGGTGTGAGCAACATCAGAATCTGCATCAATAATCCAGTTATTATATTACTCACTGGTCGGATCAACGATATAAAAGGTCAAATCAATGAGTATTACCTTCCTCATAAATTCTACATTATATCTGGGGAATTTAATTTATTGAGGAAGCTGCATTGTATGGCCAGAACATTTAATATACGATACTTTGCAATCATTGAATATGTGTATACAGCTCTGTGGTTAATAAAAGTGCAATGTCTGTTTTGTATTTTGTAGCTTCAAAAACATTGAATATTTACATTCTAAAAATCTAAATGTGACTTTTCTATTCTTTATTTATAGATAAGGCTCAAAATGTCTGGTGTAAAGTGTAGAATTTAGTAAGAATACACATAATGGGTTAAATAAACACTAAACTGGTACAATAAATAATTTTTCATTACCAATGATGTAAAAAGTCTATTCACATGATTTAATTTAGTTTAGTACCCGCTGTGATGTTAAAGAGGGAGTCTAAGGACAACACAAATATTATTCCTCATTTTCCACTGTGTGTGGCCTCTCAGTGGTAATGCATGTGAAACCTGACTCCTCGCTGATAAGTCTTAGCATAGATTAATGATGTATGGTCTAGAGGACTATGGTTTATCACACTGTGAGGAAAGGCTTAGAGAGAAAGGGGGTGAATAGGGAATAAAATAAAGAGGAAGAAGTGGTTTAAAGTACAGGGGAAAAAAACAACAGCATGAGAGTGTGAACCCATCAATAGGTTTTTCCTATATCTAACGTTCACTTTCAGCTTCGGTGTCCACTCACAGTTTCTTCAGGATTATGTTCATCACGTTCTACCACATCGGTCCACATCATCATGATAAGGTCGAGTGAGTTCACAGCCACTGTCAGCAAGGGAAATAAAACCATGAAAGAGGGCATGTATTTCCTGGAGGATCTATGCCCACAACTGCTGCCTGATCACTGCAGCATGACATCAGAGGATAATGTCTGGAATCTAAAGACACTGTTAAACAAGAGCTGTTGAGATGGAGTGCAACGTACTACTGAAACTGGGGTTCAGCCTTTTTCCCCTCTCCCTCCATCTCCTATCAAAAACTAAGGACGGCATGGGGCAGCAAGGTGTTATCTCAAAAGTGAAGAGGTCCTGGCACAAGAGAAAGATTATGTTCTGACCTCCCCGAGATAAATCAGTTTTCAAAGGTAGACGTCAACACTGAATTTAGGCAGATTCTACCAACCAAGGAGTCCTTCCTTCTAACCACATGCATCACCTCATTTAGTGGTATTGATACAACCCTCTGAGCTTTGGAACATTGTCGGCCGCACAACACTTTCAGAAATGCTAATTCTGGAGGGCCTGGGAGGACTTCGGTGGCAGATGGACGATATGCTCATATGGAGAGCCACAAAAGTCTCCGGAGAGCATTGTCATGGCTGCAGGAGGCAGCAGGAGTAAGTTCCGGGGCAGAGCATTGACAAGGTAAGACGATAAATCAACTGGGGAAATCTCTACCTCACCTGGTCGAGTAAACATGTGCAGAGAGAACTGCTGAGGACGTCATATACATGGGCCTGGGTAACGAATGACCCAAATGATGAAACACTTTAGTGTCTGTGCAGTTGCCCAGACAAGACAATGAGGAGTGGAAGTCAGTGGCGTATGGGTCAGGAGGAACTGCTGGTCTCCACATGGGCCTGCGAGGGGGTTCCTCATCGGGACGAGTTTCTGGTCCCACTGCTTGGCTCAAGGAACATAGATGAACTCCCTCCACGTATACAATGTCTTTATATGCGATTGATGAGATTTTCATACAACTCATCCCGTGTGGCTGGCAGAGAGATCGCAACTGCAGATGTGCTGTCCAGAGTGCCTGTAAACAGCACAACAGAGGGTATTCAGGAGGAGATCAATCTGGATGCTGGCTGAAAGAAATTGGAACACATCAAGACAGTGATGTCATACTGCAGCAACTGAAATAGAACTATGCAGGATGGCCAGACCAATATCAATTGGAAGAGTGTTCTCAACCGTGAGGTCACAGTAAAAGATGGTCTGTTACGTTTTGGCTGGAGACAAGTGAGCCGACATACTGACTGAGCAGAAGTGGTATCACCACAGCGTCATCAAGTGCAGAGAGGGAAGAAAACAATCCGTGAGGTGGACGGGCCAAAGCAGAGAACAGAAAAAAATAGTCATGGAGTTCCCGTCAAGGCCAGGGTCTACCGTGGAAGCAGAGCCGTCTCAGATGGGAGACAAACCGTACTTAGTCATCATGGACTATTTCCTGAGATTCTTTGAAGTAGCCAGACTACTTCTGATGACCCACATCACCAGAAGCTGTGATCAAACACGGCCAAACTTTCTTTGCACATCAAGGGATTCCTGAGGCGGTGTGGAAAGACAACGGACCGCCCATTGTGTCTGAGTCATTCGAAAAGTTTGCATATGATTGTAGATTCAGACGTGACATCCAGTTCACTTTCCACAGACCATTTTTTTTTTGAACAACAGTTCCGCCAAGATACAGAGCACATGAAATGTGGCACCTGCAACTCGGCGATCACGTGTGGGTCAGAGAAATGCTCTAGAGGTACATTGGTGTCTTCAGTGGACATGTCCAGGTCATATACTGTTGAAATGCCCAGAGGCAACCTGCAAAGTTACAGATTCCACCTCTGTAGCTCCACAAACATCCACCGACGTTCCAGAAACATCACAAGAGAACGCAGATATACGTGCAGAGTGCACCTGTCAGACTTCAGTGTGTGAGAGATGTCATCCTGCCAGAGTCAGGGTGACTACAGCAAAAGTAAAGGGCTCTGTGAGGTGAATGAGGGCTGATAATGACACACACACTAAAGGAAAAGACACTTCAAAATAAAAAAAGAAAGGAAAGACAGGAAGAAAAACATGTTGTTACTGTCATGTCTGTAAATGTTTGCTGATGTTAACTTTTGTAGGGAATTGTTTACAGAAGCTTAGGGAAATAAAAAGTTTCATGGCCCTCATATGTATAAGTTTATGAGTTAGCGGAAGGGGGAAGCCATGCATTCTTATTGATGCTTTTTGTTTGTTGTCAGAAGGCTATCTGCTAATAGCTGAGTATGTTACTTGAACTGTTAACTGCTACAGTAAGATGAGGTAAAGAGCAGAGCTTTCCATTACTTATTTATGCATGTTGACAGGAAAGGACTTTTACCCAGAAAGAGGGATGTTGTGATAGCTCTCATCATGTCAGGGAGGAGCCTTTGTTAAATGTACTGTGCGGCTGTGGGTCGGACAATAAAAAGGACGGCTGCCTAATGACAGCAAGCAAAGCTGCCACGTGTCTCTATGCTTCTTATACGGTTTCATCATAGTACCGATAAACAATAGAAAACATGGTGAGCAGTTGGTTTCACACCTCAGTAGAAAAGGAAATTCAAGAATAACTGTAAAACACACAGAAACATATTTTGGGTATATAAGCAAAGCTGAAAAAGAAACTCTGTTCCTAACTCCGTGAATAAAACCAGTGAAGCATCAAGACATTAAGGAAATAGGGGATATTTGGGCTCAATACATACTTGTATCTGTTTTATTAATAGATTCTTTTTACTCATTACAGAAGGAAACAATGAATACATTAACTATAAAAACTATTTTCATATAAAACACAACAATTAAATATCAGTGACATAACTAAAATAACTGCAGTGGGGTTATATGCCTCCACCAAGCAGTGCAGTTTCAGTCTACACACAGTTTGTTCCAGACTCATATGAAGTCCGTGTGACCTTTGACCACTGAAATCGAATCAATCTTTCTGAGGCCTCCGAGACATTAACCACCCAAATCTAATCCATGAGTATAGGTGAACATACATCTCAAGGCACTTGAGAGAGAGAGAGAGAGAGAGAGAGAGAGAGAGAGAGAGAGAGAGAGAGAGAGAGAGAGAGAGAGAGAGAGAGAGACATTAACGCCTTGCTGCCACGCTGCTCCTCACAGAGGCATTCGCAGCTTTCTCCCTTTCTTTGGACAACTCCATCTCGATCTTCGCCTGGATTTTCTCCCAGTTCACCTCAACCTGGCAGAGACACAGGGAGACAAGATGAAATGAGCTACTCCATTTTGTTTTGACGAGAATGGGACTGATAATGCAACTCAGCTAAATTGGTCAAATTCCAACATAATACAGGGACCACACTGATGGGCTGTGTTTTAAAGCATTGTCCTAATGATGCCAGCATTTTTTTAAAGGGACCACACTGATGCTCATCCAAGAAATCTATGAGACTAAACATCAGTGGACAGTGTAAAAACAACTTTTAGGTTTTCCACCATTTTTTCGTTTAGCCCCGCAGTCTCTTGCGTCAATTGAACAGCAGAACACTAGAATAGTGTATAAGCAGTGTATAAAAAGCTAAATGAGCTGAACTGACAAAAATTTGCTGTTAAAAATGTATCATACCCCAAACCAAATCTGCAGCACAGCAGACAAGCTGCCCTCACTTACCCCTCCGGCGTACTGTAGGAATCTCTTATTGGTCTCCTTCCTTCCAAATTTCTGTAGGAACTTCTCCCTATAGGCCAGCACAGTGTCCACATGGGTCTTGTGTTTGACAGCCAACTCCAGGGCCCTGGGCACAAGATGATGAATTGTAGATACACATCAAGCCTCTATAGACGAGCATGCTTCTCACTCGCTCATCCTCAAGCCTAATGTTTGACGCTCTCCTAAACATAGTCATTACAAAGCTGAGCGGAAGCATCCCCCAAAACAACAGAAACTCCTGAGTCGTACCTCTCCCAGTTGAAAAGGTTAATGTTGACTTGTATGGCCTGGTAGATGAGTCCGGCTTGTAACAGAGTGGTCTCGGCCTCCTGGATGAGACCACTGAACAAAAGCATGTGGGCCAAGGATGACTCCTTCGATGGCTGCGTCTTTATGAATTTGATGTACCGCACTCTTGGTAACTAAAAGAAGAGAAAAATTGATTTGAGAATGAGATACCGAATACTGTCTCTCTGAGACTTAACTATGTCAGTATTGTTTGAGTTAATTCAACTGTTTTTGATTGAATCAGCCATTGACTAACGCCCTTACCTCTCGAATGGCAGCGTAGGCCAGCTCTGCTGTGGTCAGCTCCCTGTTGGCCATTGACATACCAGCCAGACACGCCCATAGAGATTGGTCCTGTCGAGATGAGGAGCAGAGGCTGTGAGCACAATCAGACATTTTCTTCACATTTTCTATCATGTTTTTTTAGAAACATACATACAAAAGTTATTGATTCATTGATATGAGTGCAGTATATACACAATGCTACCACATTTTTCTTATAAAGGCAAACCAATTTAAAGCGAGCAGTGATGATTACAGCAAAGAATCTATCTAATAATTCCAGAAATCTCTGTCTCGAGAACAGTTCATCTAATATGCCTCACACTTGGCATGTGTATTTTTAAGGGCCCAAGGAAGTGCAGTGTTGAATTTGGCGCAATTTGGACACGCAATACATTCAATAATAATATACTTTACATAAACAGGCGACCAATGCTCTGTCAGTGGCAACAGCACATTCATGACAGCAGGCATGTTCTCAACAATAGCAATGAGATCTGATTCACTGAGTCGAGCTTCACTGAATAAACAGGTGAACAGCTCTTTGCGACGCACCTTCAGAATTCTGTGGACTGGGTGCCACAAGCCTTTCTTTGCTTGCCACAGCTCAATTACTGCAGGTAACTTTTAAAGTTTGAGAAAGAAATCTGCAACCAGCATCACCACAGGTCAAGCAAACAGCCCATTCCAAAAAGGCAGGTTTAGAACGGCCACAGCACTAGTGGAGGGGACGGCCAATTCGAAAGCTTTTGAGTGATATATGACATACACACATATGAGTGTCTAGGAGTATGAACAGAGACAGGGTATGATGGTGTCTTTATTACATCCTTTTCATATCCTGGCAGACCTCGTTGTAGTCATGCTCTGAGCCATTAAAAACATGCATGACACACATGGAAACAAACAGAGATATTTGCAGTACACAACATCTCATGTCGCCACTTTATTCAGTGCAGCTGTATTCATTAAAGGGAATCCTTAATCACCTATTGAATGACTCAAAGGACTAGATTCACCACTCTGTAATTCCCCCTTTAATCGATGTCCATCACTGAGACAAACAGCTTTGATCGGAGACCACTCCTGGAAACAACAAATAACTCTGATTAAACTTGATACAAAAATCTGACTCTCTATATCTCTCGTACCACTATTAGATTCATGTGGTCCATTGTATGTTATATATTCCTCTATGTGCGCATGCTTCTAAACTATTTCATGTGTCAACTCTAATCAGATGACAGTTTACCGACAACATGGAACGATTCTGGGAAAAGCCACGCTGCCACCAAACTTTTACCAGAAGTCAAGGGGGGAGGAGTTGGGGAAAAAAAAAATCTGTTTAAAAAAAGTCTCTCTCTCTCTCAATCCGTTCTGTCCCACCCTTGTCTTGTTACTAGCGTCCATTTTTTATGGCTGTGGTTATTGCATCATCACCCCAGCAAATGTAGTCTCACACTGTGCTCAGTGTGTGTGTGTGTGTGTGTGTGCGTGTGTGGAGAGTTTTAGCATGCATATAGTGGAGCGTGTATTTATGAGTGAGGTCTGAGGGGGGCTAAATCCGGTAAATGGTGTCACCAGGCTAATTGAAGGCTAATTAAAGCCTGCTGCTCTGGTCCCATAAACCTGTCTACTACCTTCTCATTTCATGTGTGTGTGAAGGTGACACACACCACAGGATCCTGGACTGTACCAGAGACTGCAGCACCAAGTCACACAGGGTCATAGAGTCATATACAGTATATACACACACACACACACACATATATATTTTCTCAGTAGAAAACCCATTTAGTGAGTAGAAGTAATAGAAATATGTTGGGAAAACAAATCTAATGTAAAGAAATCATATAAATACTAAGATACAAACACAAACAACAAAAGATATAAGAATGATTGAGTTACTTCACTGGAACAATTAGTACACATTAGAGCTGTTTTCCTGAGATTGACGATAATCA